AGTTTTTTCAAATCCCACTGAAAATCATCTTTGCGATATTTGTGTTTGGCGTCTGTAACATTATTGGTGAGCTTCTTCAATCATCTTTGCGATATTTGTGTTTGGCGTCTGTAACATTATTGGTGAGCTTCTTCAATCATCTTTGCGATATTTGTGTTTGGCGTCTGTAACATTATTGGTGAGCTTCTTCAATCATCTTGCGATAATTTTTTATCATATAAAAATATTTCAACAAATGAAATAATTCAACATTTCATATTTAAAATTAGGGTTTGGTTAACGAGTGTTCTAAGGATATTAGTTAACAATGTTGAAATTGATTGCACATTACATATTACACGTATTTTCATACATTATGTACAAACATTTCAAACTTTATCAAGTAGGACACTTATTAACAAAAATCTTAAAATTAAAGCACAATGATATTGCTATTATCTTTTTATTTTAAGTTACACATTTTTAAATCATATCCTATTATTTCAATTATAAACTTAAACAGTTAAATTAAACAAGAACATTCAGTGTGTTTGGTTTGAGCTTTTTGAATTAAGTTTTTTGAAAATTGAGTTTTTTAGTTTTTGTATTTTTTTTTCAGTGAATATTTTTAAAATTTTAAGCATTTTTTTTACTTTTTTAGATCCACCTTACTTAGATGTATCTAAAAAGTAAAAAATTTGTGAAAAAATATTTTTAAAAATTAATAAATACATAAAAATATAAAAAATGTATTGAATTCTCGTACTTTTTTTTTGTATTTTTGATATTTAGTGAATTTTTAAAAGGTTTTTTTCATTTTTTTTTTACTTTTTAGGTATATTTATGTTAGGTATGTCTTCAAATTAAAAAAATTACTCAAAATATTAAAAAAAAATCAGTAAAAACAAAAAATACAGAAAATAAGAAAGTGAAATTTTCTGAAAAGTGTTTTGAAAAAGATAACCAAGCATGCTTATTGTAGTTTAAAATATATATTAAAAAAAAAGGGAAGGTAAATACACAAATATATGGTCTTCATAATATGTGTCTTATATTATTTTGGTCATAATATTTTAAATGTATTAATTTGGTTCTTAAGCCTCGTTTGGAAACATGCTAATTTAGTAATTTTTTGGCTATTTGACTAAAATATGAGTTAAAAAAATTAGTATATTTGGGATGAATTTTTGGTTTTTTACGAAAAGATGTGCAAAAAGTAGAGGGAAAAGAGAATCTTTGACTTTTTAGTATAAGTTATCGACTTTTTGGTTAATTTAATAATTTTTTGACTATTTGACTAAAATAGAGGTTCCCAAACCAAGACTTAATCTATTAATTTTGTCACTACGTCGCTACTTCTATTTTCATACATAATTTTTTTTTATTCAAATATTTTCATTTATAATTGATAACAAAAGTAAGTGCGTTTTCATCGAATCATATTTACACATCAAGAAAACGTGAAAAACAAATGGTCCGTAAAGTGTGTAATTTGTTTTCATTTTGATCCCTTTTTTATCAAAAAAAAAAAAAAAAAAAAAAAAAAAAAAATGAACTTTTAAAAAAAAAAAAAAAAAAAAAAATGAACTTTTATTGCTGACAAATCAAAGTTCTCACCATCTAAAAAAAAAAGTTCAGTACAGGATACATCCATCAATAAAAGGTGAGTGTAAAACGTATCGCAGTAAAATTAATCGATCCTAATTAGTTTGGCACTGAAAAGCATGCCTATTTATTTGTTTTCATTTTGATTTCTAATATTTTAATTGTATTAATTTAATATCTAATATATTCAATATTATAAACTAACTAGGCTTAATTTATTTGGCCATCATGACTCTCCTAAGGGTTTAGTCTTAAGGAAAAGATTATGAATTTAACTCTCCTTAAAGAAGGATTGAATTAAGAGACAAATACTTAATACTTTGCAAGAGTAAAAAAGTTAACTCTCATAAGTTCCATCTAACAACTAACCACTACTTGTCGCCGATCAAAAAACATATATTCAATATTAGTAGGTGATTTGATAAAAATACCCTACTCTCTTCCTCTAATCAGAATAAAATATGTTCAGTGTTATAAGTGGTTTGATAAAAATACTTTACTTTTGTTCAATTGTAGATGGAAATGGAGGGAGAAAACATTTCCTTACAAAATTAATAATTTAGACACCAAATTGACATATTTTAAAGGAAAAATTACAAATTGATGGGACAATTACAAAATAATTACACTATAATATTTTTTTTTTTAAAAAATAGTGTAATTCTAACATATAGGAAGAGTTGCACTAAGCACATAAATGAATTTATACCATACACACAAGAAAGTTGCACTATCATAAAAATGTAGGCTAGTGCTCTATTGAAATGTAATTTTTCCTATTTTAAACATGAGAACCAAAATAATACATTACACATATTTGGATGCCATTTATAAAATTAATTCCAAAAAAAGAAAAATGGCAGATGTTCTAATCCCATTGGTGAAATGTTTATCAAGCAATTGTGTTAACCTCAGAAAAATGGCTCAAATTTTTACCTAAAATAAAATTGTATGGTTGAAATTAAATTTATATAATGTGATCACAAATATTTTTAAGGGTTTGATTAGAATGTGAGTTGACTTTTTAATTTTTTGATTATTTTGTCTTTTTGTGACTATTTTTGTCAAAAAGCCTCCCGTTTAGCTCATGCCAAACGAGGGCTAAATAAAATTTGAATAAATTATAAATACACTCAATAATATTTGCTTAACATACAGATTGTCCCCTGTAGAAAATTACAAATACCTCATTGTTAGAATTTTTTATTTAATAAAATTAACTAAAAAAATAAAATTCATAATTATTCTCCTATACAATAATAAAATTACCTAAATTATCAATTGAAACATATTTCTAACATAGTAAAAATTATTAATTAATTTGATAATTTATTAATAAAAGAGATGATTTATTATAAAATTAAAAATCTCAAAAAATAAAATATAATTTTTAAAATTAAAAAAAATAATTCATATTTTAATTAAATTTTATGAGATATATTTATATTTTATCCATAAAATTTTAAGTAAAATTTTTGAATGGGTGAATGCTTACCTCGAGAAAATCATGACGTTGCGAAAAAAAGGTTAAAAAAGAATAAGACTCGTCATTTCAGATCTTTGAAAAATCAACCTCCCATACTCACCACCCAGATTTTTCCTCTGCAAACCAAGATTTCATCCTCAGTTTCCATGCACTTTCTCTCCCATTTCCATTATATTATAATATATAAATTCTACATCGCACTTTCCCTCTCATTTCTATTTTATTATATAAATTCTACATCACACTTTTTTTGTTTTTACCCCCTCAAATAAGGCTAGGATTTCTTCTTGTTGACAAAATCAACTTGAGATGCGATGCTGTTAGACGTTCATGAACCCATCACAGAATCTATCTTCATAATTGTAATTGTTTATATCAAAGGGCATGCGGAGAAGATCATACTTAAAAAAAAAAAAATTATATTAATCAAAATATTGTGCATATATTATTAGATTATATTTATCATCAAAATAATAAATAATTTATAATCTAAATTATATAATTATCATCTTTTAAAAAAAAAAAAATAAGAAAGGGATTTAATTTTGTAATTACAATTGTCCAAACAATTTAATTTTTGCAATGATTCAAAAGCGGCCTCAAACCCAATAGCACCTTTAGTTATACGTTGCCCCTTTCAATAATACATTTCGTATCTAATAACTATCTCACCCAATAATATTTTTATCAAATTATTCAAAACTATTAACCATCAAATCGTCCCTCAAGATCATCAAAGATTTAAGACTTTGCACCTACCACTAATAGGGTAGTTATTTAAGTATTTTTAAAATATAGACACATGATACTTTATAAAATTTTAATTTGTAAAATTTTGATTTGTAAAGGTAGATAAGGGTCCATAATTTATGTTAGGAATGGAAAATAAAGGCTAAATAATTAATAATTAGCTTGGAGTATGACAACGTGGTGTTCTGATATTATTAAATAATTTCTCCCACTAATATGTGTATATATACTACAAATTATAATGGTAGTTCCTATACTTTATTCTTTATGTTATTTTAATTTTTATGCTTTTAATTGACTCGATTTTGATTTTAAATTTATGATTTTGTTTCAATTTAATCTAATTGATTGTAATTATTAATATTTTTTTATGAAAAATATATATATAAGTGTCACGTGCCATTTTTAAGAAAAAATTATAAATTTATTTAACTCAGTCAGTTAATTTTAATAAATTTAGTAATAATTTTCTTTTAAAAAAATACTAACGATATTATTAATTGGAGCAAATTGAAACAATATCTATATCTAAAATTAAGTATTAAAATTGAACCAATCAAAAATACAGGGACCAAAACCACACAAGAAATAAAATATACGCACTACTAATATCGATTCGTTAGGGATGTGGGTTGATTTTTTGACTATTTAGTTTATGGTTAAAAAGTCTCGTTTAGGATAAATTTTTTAACTTTTTTGATTTTTGTGAGAGAAAAAATGAAAAGATGATAGGTTAGATGTGTTATTTTGTCTTATTAGATTAAAAAGTTTATTTTGTCTTTTTATGACTATTTTAACCAAAAAAAACCTTTGATTTTTTTTATGCCAAACGAGCTCTATGGGATATTTTGAAAAGTTGATAAAAAGATAAATTTTTAATTTTTTAACTGTCTTGATGATTTTTTTTGACAAAAAAAAGAAACTGATTTTTAGTATTTTTTTTGTGACTTTTTTGAAAATTTTTGATAAAAAGCCAAAAAAAAAAAACTTTTTACCATACTTCCAAATTGCTCCTCCGTCTCCTATATATAGATTACATACACCACCCCTCCCGTCCACCAAACATTACCAACTTATTTTACCATATCTCTCTCTCTCTCTCTCTCTCTCATGGCAACCAGTCCTCCAGTTCCTGTATTTCTCATTGTTTTTTTTATTATAATTCGTCTATCTCTTGTAGGGAATTAAGTGCATGGACTAGTATGGTTGCATCCCACATCAACTTCTATCCCTAGAGATGGCCAATAGGCTTCATATAGATAGTAATGCTACTAAACTAGCCTCTACTGACTTTGGTAAGCTTGTTCAAGCTAACCCAATTGCAGTTCTCTACCCATCATCCATTAACGACATTGTCTCACTCGTAAAATCTTCTTACAACTCTCCGAACCCTTTCACCGTGGCGGCCAGAGGCCGAGGCCACTCGCTGAGAGGCCAAGCCATGGCGAAAAATGGGGTTGTGGTGGAAATGAGTTCTTTGAAACTTTCTAGTAATGAAAGTGGTATTAGGGTTTCTCAGAACCCTTCATTAGGGTTTTATGCAGATGTTGGTGGTGAACAGCTCTGGATTGATGTTTTGAGAGCCACACTTGAACATGGGCTTGCACCTGTTTCTTGGACAGATTACTTGTACCTCACTGTTGGTGGGACTCTCTCTAATGCTGGAGTTAGTGGCCAATCTTTCCTTTATGGCCCCCAAATCAGCAATGTTTATGAAATGGATGTTATTACTGGTATACATATTATCTATACTCTTTCTTTCTCTCTTATATTTTTATATAACCGTTTTAGAATAATATCGGAATTAGCGATGTCATCGTATATCAGTCTATATCGAATAATATTATCTAATATATCGATATATAACAGATGATTTTAAATAACGGCATGAGAGATAATATCAATTGACATATTGATTAATAACAATAATGCAAGTCTAAAATTTTGATATGTAACGGTTGATATGACATGTAACGATCGATGGTTGATGTATAGACACGTAACGGTTGATATTTAAAACTGTAAAATAATTGTATTGGAAGTTCAAAATTTTGTTACGTAACAGGTGATATGATATGCAAGTGTCGATATCCCATTCTCTAGATCGGTATCCCACGAGGCTCCCTATTGAGGAGCTTGAGAATAATTAGAGATATATGCAATCTCACTCTTGTATCCAGAGATTGTTTTCATATTTAAAATCTGTCACACCTAGGTCAATCTTAACATATTGTCAATGCCACCTTTCTAATATTCATGCACTTTCGGAACTTTCAAAAGATTTTCAAAGTTTTGAAGCATTGTTTCACAAAATTTATGTCGGTACATTTGCCATGTTGTCTCTTAAAAAGAGACACAAAAAATAATAAATCGACAACTTGAATAAAAAAAAAAAAAATCAATAATTTTATACAAGTAAGAGTTAAAAATGGGCGAGATCTAGATTTGAAGTCATGGAGATTTTTGCTTGATATGCAAGAATATTGTGTCATACTCATAAATAAAGAGTAGTTCCAAAATTAAGGACCCATTTCTCAGCCAAGATATCTTTTAGGTAGGGATTCACCTGACAGGGTGCCAGATTTTTGTTGTATTATGTACCCCTAATATAATGACTAATGTAATATAATGTTGTTGTGTTATTTCATTTAAAGTAAGATCTTCTATCACATAATGTTTGAAGACAATTTTAGTGTGTTAGCTTTTGCATGCATGCAAATATTTTTACATTTTCTACTAAGGCTTTTCCTTTTTTCTTTTTTTGCAGGGAAAGGAGACCTTGTGAGGTGTTCCAAACACATGAACTCAGATTTGTTTTATGCAGTTCTAGGAGGTCTAGGCCAATTTGGGATCATTACCAGAGCAAGAATTGCACTAGAGGTGGCTCCAAACAGGGTATGCACGAAACACCACTTGCATGAAATCTAAATAAAAGCACATGTACACTGAGCCACTGTATAATATAAAGGTTCAGACATTAAATTTTTTCACCCTCAAAGAAAAAAATTTGTTGGAAAAAATATTAGGAGATCAGTTTTCACTCATTATCACTAAAAGGTCATCATAAAAATAAAAAAATAGAAAAATGCAGGGACAAAAAGTTAGAAATATTGCTAATAAATGCATTTTTAAAGAGAAAATAGTGCCTTAAAATTTTACTTTTTCAGACAGAAATTTAGTCTCAGCAGTAAATATACAATTCCTAAAAATACAAAACACTTGTAAAAACTAAGCTATTTGGTCCGTAAAAAAGTGATTTCATTCCTAAATTTTTTTCTCTAAAATATTTATTTGTTATATTGAGCTGGTCAACCACAGAGCTATTAAAATGGAGAAATTACAAATTAATGTAGAAGACTAAAAATAATTACAAACACATCGTTGTGTAAAACAAACTTCAATAAAAGTTGCACTCCCCACCTTGTGGTAAATAATTTTTTCAATTCTAACTGTCTTGTTATTTTTGCTCTTAAAATTGTCATAATAGTGATAAAAAGTAATAAAATTAGACCTAATTTTATGTCTTAAGAAATTGTTAAAGTAGTAAGCAAATGATACGCCAATAAAATATTTAAGTTTGTATAAACATGTATATATATAATAAATAAATAAAGAAGAATAAAACATTTGTAAAAAGTACATCAGATCAGACATCTAACCTTGTGTTGGGTACTTGACTCGTGTATTGGAAATGCTCTAATAAATTAATGGATTAAGCGACTCCAAGATTGAACACCACTAACGTAAGTTGTTAATGAAAAATGTTTGGGAAGCACTAAAAAGAGAGCACTAGGGGAACATTAATGATGTGGCAGTGGATTCCGTCAACTTTCTATGCCTTGTTTTTTTGTTTTTTTTTTATTTATTGTTATTTTTAATACATTAGTGCTATTAGTGATGTATTTTTTAGTGGTCTAAATCATTATTGGTTATTAATTTAGGAGTACTATTGTGGCATGTATTGGACAAAGCTTGTAGACGGAGCCAACTTTATTTTCACCCAATCAACCAAAATAGATTAATTGGTTTCACTCACTTCGTGATTGTTGAGAATATAAATAATAAAATTATTATTGTTTAACAGTTCAAGTTTTTTATGATAAGATTGCAGCTAACAATACAATATAATATAGTAAATAATAAATTATGTATTCGAATCTTACTATCTACCTAAAATTATAATTACCTCTAACCACACATAAAAGATTATTATTATTATTATTATTATTATTATTATTATTATTATTTTAGATGGGGTAAATGATTATGTTGAAAGAAAAGTTTTTGAAAATTTTTGGAATAATGTTCTACATCATTCATCACATGACACTTGTCATGTTGTGTCCCACAATCCAACACAAAAGTATAGATTCTACTATTTTAACCAATAAAACTTAAGTTGAGACAGCATATAAACTTGCCCTAGGAGCATCATAATTTTCCATGTGGAAAAACATAAATAATAAACTTAAATGGAAGACTCCTAAAAAAATTATCAAAATTTTTACATAATACTCACATAAGTGTAGATCTCATATGATTTGAGTCTCTTATCACATTATGTAAGTATTGTATTAAATTTTTAATAATTTTTTTATGATCTCTAATATTGAGGATAATAAATTCAGTAACTCAACATACAATTTTAGCCATTGTCAGTGTACAAATCAAACATATATGTTGAAACAGAATATTACAATACAAATCAAACATATATGTTGAAACAGAATATTACAATACAAGATTTGAGATTTGTTTCCTTTTGAGGTCCAACCAAAATGTTGGTTGTGCAAATATTTTTATGGGAAATGATCCAGAGCCTAGCACCCCCACACTTTTGTGAGAGAGGGGGAGGAGAGAGAGTGGAGAACAAAAATATATATATATATATATATATAATGTGGTCACAAATCAATTAAAGGTTGTAGGGGTCAAAAATGATAGGGGTTTCATGTATTTTTCATTTTTATTGATTTAGTGCTTGTTTGTTAAATTGACTTCTTTTTTTTCTTTCTTTCTTTTTTTCTTTTTTTTCTTTTTTTAACTTATTTATGAAGTGAAAAAAGTTAGTGTTAATTTTTTTTTTTTTTTTTGAACTTGAAAAAATGCCAAACAGAGCCTTAATAAGTGTTTTGCAGGTGAAATGGGTTCGAATGTTGTACCATGATTTCACTGCCTTCACAAGAGACCAAGAACACCTCATCTCCATCAATGGACTTGATTATGTGGAAGGTTCTCTAATCATGCATCAGAGCCCTCCAAACAATTGGAGGGCTTCCTTTTTCTCACCATCCGATCAACTCAAAATTAATTCTCTGTTAACCAAACATGGTATCATCTACTGCTTAGAAGTGGTCAAGTATTATGATGATCTTACCATTGACACTGTTGATGAGGTACTTATCTTTTTCTTTTTTTCATTATCATAATTTACTTGCCTAAAATAATTCAAATATGTAGCATGTTATTTATTAATATTTTTTTATAATAAATGCTATCTATATATTTAGAAGTAATTATTTTTAGAAAATATTAGTGTGTAAGCATGCTTTTGTTGTGTGTAAGTACAAAAATAAAAATGATATGTACCCGAAAACCATTCAATGAGTGCCCAAATTTTTTAATTTAACATGTAGATTTAAATTTTGTATTATGGACATAGTTACGGTAACAATGAATTTAATTTGCATTTTGAAATTATGAAATATTGACACTTCAAAATATATGTGATGTTCATATTGGACACTTATGGGACACCGACACTATAGAACTTGTCATGTGATGTACGTCATGTTCATATTGGACAGAGACACCGACACTATAGAACTCGCTATGTGATGTATCAATTTTAATGTTAATTGTGAAGTACTAACACTTCATAGACATTTGAACATGTCTCAAGACACTTTTTTAATCATAATTATATATAATTTTTTTTAATTTTTTGTTTTGGATTATAGGAAATCCGACAGCTGGTGAAAGGGTTGAGGTTTATTCCAGGTATGATGTTCAAGAAAGATGACTCTTTGGTAGGGTTTCTTAACAGAGTAAGAAGTGGAGAGCTAAAGCTTCGAGAAAAAGGAATGTGGGAAGTAGCACATCCATGGCTAAACCTATTTGTAGGAAAGTCTGGTATTATGGAATTCAATGCAGCTGTTTTTGCTGATATTCTCCACAAACAAAATCACACCATTGGACCCATTCTTCTTTACCCACTCACCCGACACAAGTAATTCTTCTCAATCCCTCCTCGTTTTTTTCCCCTAAACAAACAAACAAACAAGTATGTATATATATATATATATTATTGTTATTTGGGATAAGATTCTCTGTCTTAAAAAAAGTACATGTCCCTTTTTCAATAGTATTTTAAATATGGAGAATTACGTAATATTTTATTAGTTTATTAATATTGTACATAAGTTAGTATAGATTATACATTTTAAATATTTTATATAATAAAATAAATTAAATAAAAAAATTGGTGTCTGTCGACACCCAACTACTAAACATATATATATATATATATATATTATTGTTATTTGGGATAAGATTCTCTGTCTTAAAAAAAGTACATGTCCCTCTGTCAATAGTATTTTAAATATGGAGAATTACGTAACAGCAGAAAAGAAAAATTGCAAATATATAGAGGGTGCAAGTGATTTTGTAATGAAATGTAAGTGAAAAGCCGTGAAGACTTGTACCCTTTCATATTTGTGTATATATATTTTTTTTCCTATTACACTGTTAAGTAATTCCCCTTCTAAATAAATTAAATCAATATGACATCATAGTGATGATTTATTTGAACACGGCTTGTTTATTAATTCAATTTGATTAACGACAAGCTCAAATCTAAAATACTAATCACATTGTTGTATATAAATTATATGTAACATATTTTACATTTAGGGTAAATTTAACCTCTCTATAGTTTTAATATAATTACCTTGACAATTTTTTTTTAATGATGTTAAATTAAAGAGATCAAAATTAACATGTATTTTCTTCAAATCTCAAGCGAGGTCACTGTAACTGACCCTTTATATTATTTTGAGCAAGGTTCCTCTCCAGTTCACATTTGTGGGTTATATCGTCTAATTAGGATTGTAAAATCCATTGTAGAGTCGAATTGCAGCTCTTTGTACAGATCATACATGAAAAAAATCAAATTCGTCTAATAATTATAGCTATATTTTTCATCAAAAAATGGACGATAAGAATAATATTCAAAAGAAATTATCTATTTATTATTATTGTTTTGAAGATAATTGTAATAAGATAATACGACTATGATTATCAGATCAATTTAATTTTTTTTTGTTTTTTAAATCAACAATCTACCCATACAAAGTTACAAAATGAATGAATCATCTTAACACAGTTGGGCCTGCTGTGGGTTATTCGGGCCAACTGAACAATTTGGTTCACAAATATAGATGGCAGAGAAGTTGTACTCGGACTTTATCAAATAATAATAAAAAATAAAAAAATTGGTGACACTGTTTATAATGATGTGATTTAAAATAATGAGGCATGTGAAACATAAATTGCAGGTGGGATGATAGGATGTCTGCAGTCATACCAGAAGAAGATACATTTTACTCTATTGGGTTGTTGCTTTCAAGTGTTGACAATGGCAACTGGGAAGTATTGGAAGATCAAAATAAACAAATACTAGATTTTTGTGACAAAGCTGGAATCAAGGCTAAGCAGTATCTTCCCCATTACAGAACCAAGGAAGATTGGATGAATCATTTTGGCTCCAAATGGGATACTTTTCAACAGAGGAAAGCTCAGTTTGATCCCAAGTTTATATTGTCACCTGGCCAAAGAATTTTCAATTCTGTTTGAGGATAGGAACATATGTGTTTTTCTAGGATTTTCAAGTCACACTTGCAGGATTTAAAATTGTGACTATGTTTTAGATTTTAGTATTTAGTTTAACGTGTACTATATTTCAAAATGTTACGGAATTGGAATAAGTAATGTGAATGTGAGGGTGATTATTTGGTAGTACGTGCGGTCATGTGGTGTTTCATGATATAGTATGATTGATGGAGAATATGAGATATTTGATTTTGTGTTGGCTGATTGATGAACATAGAAGGGTATAACAAATGATAATTAGTGAGAAAATATAGTCACGTAATACTCTGAGATTACCTAATAATTTTTCGTGATGGTGGTCAAGAAATAAAATGTATTTCGATTAAATTCATTTTGAGTATGGTCTGCCTACTATTTAGCTGAAATGAATTTGTTTACACTATGAAAGTGTGTAAACAAAATATAAAATTTGATTGCTTCAAAATAATGAATTTTATCCGAAAAATATATAAACTCAACCCAAAATTGTAAATTCCATTATGTTTGGACCAATGATTAAAAGTTGAGTTTTATTCACGGATTATGATCCCTTCTAGCACTTTTTTTTCATTTAGTCATCATCGAACAATTAATCCAAAAATCGTAGTGGTAATGATTAGTCGTTGAATTACAACATTTGAACTAATTATTAAATGATAGTTGGATGAATAAAGTGTCGAAGAGAATTTGAATAATTTATTCACACATTATAAAATCTGACTCCTTGTACTTTATACTTTATTTTAAGAACTTTTCAAATTACATTTTGTTTCACAACCTAAGGTAGTGTTTGGTTAAGTTTTGGAATCATAATTCCAATAAAAAATTTTCAAAACTCATAATCAAACACTCAATTCAAAACACATAGCCAAACTTTTTTCAAGACTCTATTTTTAAAACAAAAAATATTTTTTTATTTTTTTGAATTTTTTTTTTCCACAAAATATATATATATATATATATATATTTATTTATTTTTGAAGAAATTATTTTTTATATTTTTTATTTTTTTGAAAAAATATTTTGTTATTTCTTTAAGTATTGGTCAAATAGTTTGTTATGATTTAGATATTGTTGGCTTTTTGGCTTTCGAAGGTTATCAGCAAGGATCAATCAGTCCGTATAGAAAATTAATTGCGAACCCATTATCAGACGGTTGTGTTTTAGTTCTTTAAGCCTCAATGAAGAGGATTTTTACTGGTGGCTTGATTTAGGAGAATTAAGCAAATAACAATCAAACGAAGAACAATTGAAGCATTTCATTAAAATGAAAACTTACAATGATCCAATTCAGCCTCGTAGAGGTTTATAGTAACAATCTACTTGAAACTACTCCTATGAACGAAGTGCAGTGCAAGAATTAAAGTACAGAAATGTAAAGAATAGGAAATGTAAAAACTGGAAAGGAAATAAAGTAGAATAAAACTGGTTTTTTGGATATGAGTCCGGGGGGCTTTTCTGGGGCCTTCTCTGCTATTTATACTTCTCAAGGATGACCATCGAACTGCACTTCCAACCGTCGAATCGCTCCTCCGTGATCGCTGATCATGTTGCCTTATAGTTAACTCCACTATGCCATCACTTGCAGTTAGGCTTCCCTCCTAATTTTGAATTTGAATGTGTATAACCGTTGAAGCCACATCACTTTATATCTCTTTGTTGATCCAATACTATGCAGATCTCATAAAACCAATACTGACTGCCACATGTTCGATCATGATTAAAAACTTGAATAGTCTTCTTGTATTGCTCTTATCCTGCCTTGCGTTGAATTGTAATTGGCTTATACAAAATATGTAGCCAGCATTACCCCCCGTACTAATATACCCAATACTTGGTGATATTAGTGGATCAAGGTCTTTTATCCACGTTTTAGAACATGCATGGGCTTTATATTTTAAGAAACACAACTGTCATTCATTGATGAACATTTGCATTAACTCCTTTTTGATCCCTTAAACACGCCCACTATCTCAGTATTCGAAAAGTCCAATTCAATGGAGAAACAGACCTTTTCTTATCTCGATCAAGCATATGAAGAGTTTTTTGATAATACCGTTCGTCCTCAAAGGAATCTTCATGCATTGATTAGTCACCTTTACCCACCTTCCTATATTCAAGTTATGAATCTTTCGTAAATCATCAACCTTTGGATTACGAACATACTGTCCACAATCCCTTGATTCAGAAATTTGCAAATATGGACATGGGAAGCCCTTCTTCTAATTCACAATCTTCTGCATGGGATGAGGCCGTGGCTTCTTCTTCTTCTGGGGCTTCTGGTTGGAGAAGCTGGTCGGAACTTGAGGCATGTGAATTGAGGGAGCGAATTAATCATCACTTTGTCGAGTTTGCTGATCCTTTAGAATTCCCTTCTGATGCTCGAAGTTTAGTGGTTTATAATTACGTGCCCATCGACCATCGACGCAGTTTAGAGGACAATCTGCTCGTAGCATGGTACACATCCTCCATGCCTACAAAGATAATACAAGCTACCCGACGCCCAGAAGAGGCACAAGGGTATAACCCATCGTTCTTAGCCCAGAAGGCAAAGTTTTGCCTTTTTGACTGGCTTGATTATGTCAATGCACCTCAGTTTCCTCCTACTTTCGAGATGGAAGCCCCTATACCTCCTCCTCCACAAAATCCTTGCTGGACAGAGAGACTGAGGCTTACCCTCTTTGCGGACAAGGTTTTTCCTCCTTACAAGCCTCCACCTTCCCTTATTCCAGCTCAGCGGAAGCAAGCGCAACTTCTGCTTGTGGCCTTTTCTCACTTGCCTTTCAATGTTCTTGAAGACGATGTTCCTCTCAAGAACTTTCAATGGGCTTGTGATATTATGACTCGGAGTCACGTTCTCAACCCCATTGCCCAAGCAGAACATCAAATGTTTTTGGACCAACTCCCGTTGCTTTTCTATTGGCACCGGACTTCTGTGGCCACCACCCAATCTTTGGACCAACTTTTATCCCTTCGAGTTCATGCCCAGTACGAAGCAGACAACCTCATTGAAGAATATGATGACTTCAAGAATAAAGACTCTACGTACTGGGATGACTTGGTGTCACGACCCAAACCCGTCCCTATGGGTTTAGCACCATAACCGACCAGTAATTCGTGATTACCAAAGGCATGCTTAACAGTAAAGACAGTAATACAGAGTACAGGGCTGGCGGAAGCCAAAACAGTAATGAGAGATGTCCAATGAGCTGTGACAGTCTATATGCAAAAAGACTTTTTTGAACATATTCACATTCATAAGCAAAACATATATACACCATATGTACAAACATTCAGGTTAGGGACCAAATCTCTACCACAATAGTACAGTGCAAGTCTTAACATTTATTACAGAACAAAGGCAAAAGGGGAAATCTAAAACGCCCCAAAGCAGCCATGACTTGAAACGGCTTGGAACCTCGCAGTGAGGCACAACGGTTGGCTTGACAAAACGAGAGTTAACCCAACGCTCCTAGCTCTGGTCCGGTGCCTGGACACCTACATATATATATATATATATATAAACAGTGAGCTAAAGCCTAGTGAATAACAGTTGTGTAAAGAGGTTAAGAATGAATGTCCTTTCAGTAATTAAACAGTCATATCAGTCATTTAGAAACCATAGCAGTCATATGTGGTACATCCAATAGCAAAACAGTACAGTAGGTCTTAACAGACCGAATAGTTAGTTGATGGCCATCATAACAGTAACAGTAGTGGTTCCAAACTTGGGAACCGACAGAGATCTCTGTGACACTAGCAGTAACAGTACAGTAACAGTAAGTTGCTAAGGATGTCACGAATACAGTTTACAAATAGGACAAACATTCGTTCATTAAACAATAGCGTTTCAGTAAACAGAACAGTTGATCATTCAGAAAATATTCATAATTGAACATATCTTTACAACATTGTTACTCATAGAGCACTGGGCCATAAGCAGCTAATAAGCGTCCTTGGGTGCCAACCCTACACAGTTACAGAACGAACACACACTAAGTTACACACTTGGGAATCAAGAACTTAGTCCCTATCTTGACTCGGTGTGGTTCTACATCAATATCCTCATTAAGATGCCTTAAACATGGCCTAGGAATGCCTAAGATGGAAGGAGGATGCAAAGATGCACTTTAAAACACTTTTCAAAATTTTCAGAAAACAGGGGTCTCGCTTAAATGTGGTTTTCTACGCTCGAGCGGACATGTAGACAAAGGATCTCCACTCGAGTATGACTTCCTTCGCTCGAGCGGACTGTAAACTTCAAGAAAATTATTGGATGCATGCAATTCACGCTCGATGGACGCTCGACCTCCGCTCGAGCGTGAGACTCAGGTCCTTGCTTGAGCGGACTGTAAAACACAAGAACTTTTGGGTACGTGCATTTCACGCTCGAGCGTAACTTTCCACGCTCGAGCAGAAGTACACGACTCAGAGGGTACGCTCGAGCGTGAAATCCTACGCTCAAGCGTGGGTCCAAAATCTGAAATTTCCAGATTCATCCCCAAGCACAAAACTCAAGCATTTAAGCCTCAAACTCGATCCTTTTGGGCTAATTTTCTGGAAAACACTTAAAAACCCATAATACAACATGTTTCAAAGATTAATTTTGTAAAATCAAGCCCAAAGGTAAGTCAATTGAACACCAATTTCAAAGAAGTTTTCATGAATTATGTAAAAACATAACATGCATGAACTCTTATGAACTCTAGTGCGTTAAAACTTGATCAAATGCATGATTAAGCTCAAGAACAAAGTGAATTCAAGGGCCTCAACTGAAATATACACATGCATGGAAGAAATTCATGCTAAACAACCTCAAAATGCAAGAATATATACATGCATGCATGAATTCACCCTCAACCTCAACTCCTCAAACCAATTCTTGACTTTAAACCCTAAATTACCATAGACCATGCAAGATACAACTCAAATTCACAAATGAGAGGGTGAAATCTCTACCTTAGGTCTTGAATTCAAGGTATAGAAGCTCAATTTTGCAAACGCTCTTCAATTCTACTAAAATTTCTAAGCAAAGCTCTTGATGAACTCTATTTTCTCCTACCTCTCTCTCTCCCACGGTTTGGCCTAAGAAAAGGATGAGATGGTGGTGCAACAATTGATATGAATCACACTCCAAACAAAGCTTCTAAAGTGGCCCACTAAGTGGCAATTTGGTAAATAACTTGAACTAATGCGATTCAACATTATTTTAATCTAAT